ATGATATCAGTAAGATTTTTCATAGATATTATGCAGAGATCAATAATGACATTTTGGTTAAGAATGGAACTGAAACTCTTTATGATCAGCAATTTAATCAATTCCAAGCAATTTAATCAAAACTTCCATTTAGAAAGATATAGCTTAACCAAGGTGAATAAAGGTGGAACTGAAAAACAAGAAGGGGGTTATCACTTTGATGGGATTATACTATAGGGCCTTCAATTGTCAGCAGGAAATTGAGGAGTAAATATGGAGGAAGATCCCAGATTGCTGTAGGAACAATAGAACTGTAATAGTAGGGGATTTTAACTTTCCAAACATAGACTGGGACTGCCATAGTGTTAAGGGCTTGGATGGGGAGGAATCTGTTAAGTGTGGTCAGGAAAACGCTCAGTCAACATGTAGATGGCCCTACGACAGGAGGCATGGTAAGTAAGTTTGTGGATGATACCAAAACCGCTGGTATAGTGGACAGTGAAGAAGGTCATTTAAGAGTACAACAGGATCTTGATCAACTGGGTGAGAGCACCATGGAATGGTAGATGGAATTTAATTCAGATAAATGCGAGATGTTGCATTTTGGCAAGACAACCCAGAGCAGGACTTACACAGTTAATGGTAGGGCCCTGAGGAGTGTTGTCAAACAGAGACCTGGGGTGCAGGTACATAGTTCCTCGACAGTGGCATCACAGGTAGACAGGGTGGTGAAGAAGGTGTTTGGCATGCTAGCCTTAATTGATTAGACCACTGAGTATAGGAGTTGGGACGTCATGTCACAGCTGTACAAGACGTTGTTAAGACATTTGAAGTACTGCGTACAATTCTGCTCGCCCTGCTACAGGAAGGATGTTATTAATCTGGGAAGGATACAGAAAACATTTACAAGAATGTTGCCAAGATTGGGACAGCACATTGACTCAGCGGTTAGAATAGCTGCCTCACAGCGCCAGGGATCTGGGTTCGATTCCTCCCTCGGGCGACTGTCTGTGTTGAGTTTGCACATTCTCCCTGTATCTGCATGGGTTTCCTCCAGATGCTCTGATTTCCTCCCACAATCCAAAGATACGCAGGCTAGGTGGACTGGCCATGCTAAATTGCCCATAGTGTCCAGGAATGTGTTGGCTAGGTGGATTAGCTGTGGGAAATACAGGGTTACAGGGACAGAGTCGGGGATTGGGTCTGGGCTGGATGTTCTTTGGAGGGTCAGAATGTACTCAATGGGCCGAATGGCCTGCTTCCACACTGTAGAGATTTTATGATTCTGTTGGAGGGTTTGAGTTATAAGGAAAGAATCAGAGAATCATAAAATCCCTACTGTGTGGAAACAGGCCACTTGGCCACTAAGTCCACACCGACCCTCTAATGAGCATCCCACCAAGGCCCACCACCCCCCAACCCCATCCCTGCAACCCTGCATTTCCCATTGCCACCCCACTAGCCTACACATCCTTGGTCACTATGGGCAATTTAGCATGGCCAATCCACCTAACCAGCATATCTTTAGACTATGGAAGGAAACCACAGCAGCTGGAAGAAACCCATGAAGACACGGGGAGAATGTGCAAACTCCACACAGACAGTTGCCTGGGGATGGAAATTGAACCTGGGTCCCTGGTGCTGTGAGGCAGCAGTGCTAACCACTGAGCCAATGTGCCACCTCAAACGATGCAGGCTGGATACATTGGGGCGTTTTTCCCTGGAGCGTAGGAAGCTAAGTGTTCACCTGATAGAGGTTTCTTTAAAATCATGAGGGGCACAGATAATAATAGCCAAAGTACTTTCCCTAGGGTAGGGACGTCCAAGACTACAGGGCATAGATTCAAGGTGAGAGGAAAAAAGATTGAAAAGGGACTTCAGGGGCAGCTTTTTCACACAGATGGTGGTGTGAATATGAAACAAACTCCCAAGAAAGTGGTACAGGCAGGTACAATTACAACATTTAAAAGATGTTTGGACAGGCACATGGATAGATAAGGTTTAGAGGGATTTGGGCCAAATTCAGGCAAACGGATTAGTTCAGTTTCAGAAACTTGGTCGGCATGGTGAGTTGAGCTGAAGGGCCTGTTTCCATGCTGTTAGAATCTATGACTCTTGACTCTAATAAAGGAGACCAAGGGTCACTGGACTTGAAGTGTTAACTCTGCTTCTCTCTCCACAGATTCTACCAGATCTGTGGAGTTTGTCCAGCACTTTCTGTTTGTGAATCAAGGGGAATGGTTAAGGGAAGACCCATTTGAATGACTTGTGAATGAAAGTGCAGTATTTATATGGCTTAACCAGTTCAGTTTCTGGTCAACTGTTGGTAGTATCCCCAGGATGTTGGTAGTGATTTGGTTATGGTAATGCCAGAGAATTACAGCACAACACAGATCTGGAGTGTAAGTGCAAGTCTTCAGTAATACTGCCAGAATGCTGTCATGGCCCATAGACTTTGGAGTAGCCAGCCATTCCTTGATGTCGGGTGGAGTGAGCTGAATTGGCTAAAGACTGACAACTGTGATGCTGGGGACCTCAGTAGGAGGCCAAGATGGACCATCCACTTGGCACTTTTGCTGATGATAACTGTAAATGCATCAGCCTTGTCTTTTGCCCTAATGTGCTGGGCTCTCCCATCATTGTGATTGGGAATATCTGGGAAATTGCCTCCATCTATTAGTTCTTTCCTTATACACCACCATTCACAACATTGATGCATGAGGACTGCAGTGCTTACAGCTGATCTGTTGGTTGTGGAATCTCTTAGCTCTAACACTTGCTCCTTCTACTATTTGGCACACAAATGGTCCTATGTTCTAGCTTTACCACGTTGACCCTTTTAGGTGATTTTTATGTCTGCCTGGTCCTGCTGTGAGCATGCTCTCCTGCACTCCTCATTGAACCAGGATTGATCTTCCAGCTTGATAGCAATAGTAGAGCTAGGAATATGTCCAGCCGTGAGGCTATAGATTGTGATTCAATACAATTCTGCTGATGGCCCATAACATCTTATGAATGGTCAGTTCTAAGTTGCCAAATCTATTTTAAATTTGTCTCATTTAGCACAGTGCCATACACAGACCAGGCAATGTTATCTGATTAGATTTCTCAAAAGACAGTGGGCACAGATGCAATGTGCTGGATAGTCTCCTCCTGTGCTATAATGATTCAATGAAACTGCCCTCCACGAGACACTCTAGAGACCACAACATTCACAACACAAAATACCACTGAAGCACAGTGGTACAGCCATTTATCATTAGGGAAAGTGATGATGGAGTGAGCATTGTTGCTGGACCAGTGATCCAGCAACACAGGTAAAAGCCTGGGTTCAAATTGCACCACAATAGATGGTCAGATTTGAATAGTTAAAATATGGAATCAGAAGTCTATTGGACCCATTGCCGATCGTCAAGAAAACCCGTCTGTTTCATTAATGTCATTTAGAGGAAAAAAAGGTGCTTCCCTTACCTGGTCTGACTTACACGTGTACTCAGACCCACAGCAATGTGGTTGGTCCTAATTACCCTATGAAAGTCGGCCAGTTGTACCAAACTGTTAACATGTTCAAAAGGAATAAAACCAGATAGACCACCTAACATCAACAGATGCACTGGGAACACAACCCATTCAATCCTACAAAGTCCTCCTAGTAACTTCAGGGAGCCAGCATCAACATCAAAGAAAGCTGTCTCACAGACTAATCAAGCAACAGACTGACATATTTATGGAATCATACCTTCCAGATAATGTGCCAGATACCACCATCATGCTCTGTCCCAACATCACACCGGTATACAGTCAGGAGCGAGTTGCCCTGGGACCCCTCAACATTAACTCCAGAGACAATAAAATCTCATGGCATTAGGTCAAACGACCCACTGATTACTATTTACTCTACCCCACTGCCCAAAACTCTTTCACACTGAACACTACTTGAAGGAGAAACTGAGGGTGCAGAATGTACTCTGGGTGTGGATGTAATGTGCATCAAGAGTAGCTCAGCATTGAAAATAACCAGTTCAATCAGTAGTTGATCCAAATCTTAAAGCCATAACTGCTAGACTGGGTCTGCTGCAGGCAATGAGGGAACCAATAAGGAGAAAATTCATTCTTGACTGCAACAATTTGTCTGTCACAGATGTATTTGACCATAACAGCACTGGTAGGAATGATCACTGCAAAGTTCTTAACATTCATAGTATTACAATAGTTGAATCCCACCACTTCCTCCAACACATCCTTGAGGTTACCATTAACTAGAAACTGAACTGGACCATATAAATACAGTGGCTCGAAGAGAGGGCAGAGGCTAGGTATCCTGCAATTAGTCACTAACTTCCCCAAGAGCCTGTCCACCATCTACATAGCTCAGTTGAGGTGTGTGATTGAATACTCCCCAATTGCCTGGATGACTGGCACTGTGTCTTCATTCCCTCCATCAATGACGCACTTTGTGCATCACCTACAAGAGGCAGTGGAAAAATTCACGAAGGTTTGCTTAGGCAGTACCTTCCAAACACAATCATTACCATACAGAAGCTCAACAGCAGCAGATACATGGGAACATAACCTGCAAGTTCCTCTCAATGCACCGACTGTCCTGATTTGGATCTATATCATCTTTCTTGCACTATGGCTGGGTCAAAAACCTGGAATTCCTTCCCTAACAGCAACATGGATGCAACTACACCAGAAAGACTGCTGCAGTTCAAGGCAGCTCCATCACCAACTTCTCTAGGGCAATTAGGGTCAGACAATAAACGTTGGCACAGCCAGTGAAGCCCAAATTTCATGAATAAATAAAAAGAAGTTCTTTTACAGATTACTGTTCTGCTGCTCCAGAATATTGGACCTAAGAATATTGGACCTATTAGAGTTTACTGCTACACTACAGTTTCCCATTCATTCAGATCAGCAAGCTATAGAACAGAAATGACTGTCACAAATTGTACTTGCATATTAATTCCATATTATAATAACGTTATTATCATGAATTCTATTTATTCAACTAACTTTACCTTTCTGTATCGGTCAAACGCAGTGAACTGAATAGCACCATAAGGAAAGATCCTGACCATCATTGCTCCATTGCCTTTATACAGGCCAAGGAAGCCTTCTTTCTTCGGTACAGCACGCAGAGTAGAAAACACTCCTGTAAGAAAGATCCCAGTCACAAACTGAGCTCCAAATATTGAGCTTTTAATTTCAAAACTGATTCTGATCATAAGCATTTCTTAAAACTGGATAATTTATGAGCATATGTACAACACTAGTGGAAGGGTGTATTCAAAATGTGAGAAATTTACAATGACATTTGCATCACAAATGTAGAGGTAGAAATTTGGAAACTAAATGCGCAAACAAGATCAGAATAGCTTAAAATGAATTATGTTTTGTGTTTCCTGGTTCAAATACCTCCTGTTCTTTAACTCTGTTTCACCTGACAACTACACTGGTTTCAATACCCTTTGTGCAGTGGCATCAATATATACCAGTGCCTTATTTGAAAACAGAACATATCTCTGTATGAATATTCTGACAAACTTGACTTAAGGTCATTTCTTTTTTCTCCCACATTACTTAAATAACTTTGACGCACAGGTTAAAATCTATCAATGTCAAAGCAGGAATTAGTCATTATGGCAGCTGATTTTCAGGCAGTAAACAGGGTCAGGGAGGAACAAAATGGACTGATTTCATCTCAGCTGCAGTCTATAACACATATGTGGTGTAATGCCAAAGGTTTGCAAGGGCCCAACAATGTGTCAGGCACAGAATATATCCCAACACTTATTGGGCAACAACAGTCATTCCAGCAAACAAATGTTGGGCAATTCAAACACAAATAGTTTTATTTTGGATGCAGTGTTCCCCATAGTAATGGCGTTTATGCATTTGGGTTGTAACCACACCAAACGGACTGTAGCAGCTCACCACCGCCTTCTCAAGGGTAAGAAGGGAGGGGCAATAAAAGCTGGCCCAGCCAGCAACACCCATATCCTCTGAATGAATAAAACACAAATTAAATTCTGCCCTGTCCTAGTTCACCTATTCCCTGCCATACTCCCTGGCTACTGTATGGCAATCGGCTCTCAACCACACAGGAAAATTAACCCTGCCTCCCACAAGGTAATGGGTAATTACCCCTCCTCAATCCAGTAGAGTAAACCCAGCCCCAGGAAAATTATATAGACAAACAGGAGGCCAGGCAGCATCTGGAGGAAAGGAGCAATCAATGTTTCAGATAATATCCTTCTTCGGGACTAAATGTGGGGGTAGGGGGAGCTGCAGATGAAGGGGGTGGCGGGAGTGGTCGTGGAACGGTGGTGATAGGTGAACACAGTAGTAGGTACGACATGGTTGGTTGATGGGAGGGATTAATCCAGTTGGTGGCCGGGAAGGAGGGTCAGAAGATGGAATGGAAGGGAGAAGGTGGGGCTGGAAAGGGAGCCGGGGGATGGGTGGTAAGGTTATTTGAAATTGGAGAACTCAATGTTGAGTCCTCCAGGCTGTAGGGTGCCCGGGTGGAAGGCAAGGTGTTGTTCTTCAAATTTGCATTCCGAGTCGCTGTGACACTGAAGGAAGTCAAGGACAGACATGTTGGAGGGGGAGTGGGGCGAGAAGTTGAAATGGGCGGTGACCGGGAGGTTAGATTAGCCATTACTGGCCAGATGAAGATGCTTGGCGAAACGGTCACCTAGTCTATGTTTGGTCTCACCAACGTAGAGAAGACCACATTGTGAGCACCAGATGCAATAAACTAAGTTGGAGGAGATGCAGGTGAAGCTCTGTCTCACTTGGAAGGACCGTTTAGGGCCCTGAATAGAGGTGGTGTGTGAGCGGATGTTGCATCTTTTACAGTTACAGGGTACCAGGTGGGTCTGAGTGGTTGGTGGGGAGTGTGGCACGAACTAAGGAGTGGCGAAGGGAATGGTCCTTGCAGAAGGCAGAAAGGGGTGGTTAAGGTTAGGGTACAAAGCTCTTTTCCCCTCTCTGTCATCCAGACAGCCCTCCACTGTGCCTCCTCCATTCCCCACTCCACAGTTCCTAACCACCCCAACCCCTCTAAACATAATAAAGATAAGGACCCCTTGTCCTCACTTTCCAACCCACCAGCCTCCACATCCAACGTGTCTTTCTCAAACACTTCCGCAAACTCCAATTAGACCCCACCGCCCAGAACATCTTCCACTCCCCACTCCTCTCTGCCTTCCGCAAGGACCATTCACTTTGTCACTCCTTAGTTCGCTCCACATTCCCCACCAACCACTCCAACCTGCGCGGTAGCTTCCCTGTAACCGTAAAAGATGCAACACCTACCCACACACCACTTCCCTCACCTCCATTCAAGGTCCTAAACAGTCCTCCTAAGTGAGACAGAGCTTCACCTGCATCTCCTCCAACTTGGTCTATTGCATCCAGTGTTCCCGATGTGGACTTCTTTATGTCAGAGAGACCAAATATAGACCAGGTGACCGTTTCACCAAGCATCTTCGCCTGGCTCGTAATGGCCAGCCTAACCTCCCGGTCACGCCCTATTTCAACTCCCTGCCCTACTCCCCCCTTCTACATGTCGATCCTCGGCCTCCTCCCACGTCATACCGACTCGGAATGCAAATTTGAAGAACAACACCTTATCTTCCACGTGGGCACCCTACAGCCCGGAGGACTCAACATTTGAGTTCTCTAATTTCAAATAACCTTCCCACCCATCCCCCAGCTCCCTTTCCACCCTACCTCCTCCCTTCCATTCCACCTTTTGACCCTCATTCCCATCGACCAACCAGGTGGTACCTACTACCAGTATCCACCTAGCATCACTGCTCCTTTCCTCCAGATGCTGCTTGGCTTGCTGTGTTCTTCCAACCTCCTGTTTGTCTACCTTGGATTCCAGCATCTGCAGTTTTTTTTTTTATCTCTACCCAAGAAAATTAGCCCATCCACTGGGAAATTATATTACGCAGGGAAAGCGTATCTTCCAATGAGGAAACTACATCCCTTCCTGCGGGAGGCAAAGTATCCATCTTGCAGGAAGTTTCCCCTCCTACAGCATAATCAATACAGAATACTTTCATGACCCTGGCACACTTCAGTGGGGGAGCAAGAGGGTTAGGGTGAAAAAAGGAGTTATAGATCTTGGCTGGGGTTCGGGAGGGAGTGACAGTGATTAAAGTCAGAGGGAGAATTGGAGTCATGGGAAATGATCACACTCAGGGGTCAGCAACAAACCTCAGTTCCAGTGGGAGTAACGAGGTTCGGGTCTGGTAGGAGTGACAGGGTCACCGAACTCAAATGGCTCCTGGCCAAACAATACATTGATTATTAAAAGTGGATGTTTTCAAATCACTCTTTGCCTTCATCTCTTCCCTTTGTTTGTAACTTCCTCTGCTGCTCTAGCCCTCTCTGCACTCCTCTAATTCTGGCCTCTGGAGCCTGATAAATTTTAAATGCCCTACTTTTCTTGGCTGGCTTTCAGATGCTTTAGCTCCAAGTTCTGGATTCTCCTTCCTAAACGTCTCCGCTTCTCAACCTGTTTTTAGACACTGCTTAAAAGCTACCATGTTGAACAAGTTTTTGACAATTTGTAAGGTATCCAGAAAACGATGAGGTGGATCTTGGTCATCAATGGGGCAGTCAAGGTGCTGCCTCCCATTCTCCAGTTCCTCCTATTCTCCACGGTCTAAAGATATGCCTAGCACAAAGGAAGATGACAGCAACTTTTGGAAGCCAATCATCTTAACCCCAGGACATAATTGCAGGAGCCCCCAACCACCCCTGGCTGCTTCATCAAGACCTTCCCTGCATTATAAAGATCAGAATATGTACAGGTAGATAGGATTAGTTTAGAATGACATCATGGTCAGCACAGACATGGTGGGCTGAAGGGCCTGTCCTGTGCTGAACTGATCTACATTCAACACACACACAAAGCACTTGCACTCCCCCAAAAAAAGACATTACTTATACATTTCAATGGTTCATATCCTGTTCCTTTATAATACAGCAACTGGAAAGACAGCATCTTGGCCAGGTCCAGATAGCTGTTAGATTTAGACTTGAGAAATTCATCTCTCGGTGGTTTTGCAATTTCACTCAATTGAACTAGCTTTAAAGTGTACACATTTCCCTGGAGTTCATCATAAGTGCAAGAATTTTCCAATCATTCTCCTATAGTGTCTTGGCTGCTTTGTGTGATAATGTATGCATAATTCATCTTTAAGAAAAGATTCTCAGCTACCAATTCTTTGTGATGTTTCTGTTGTACTGTCCATTTGTCACCTTAAGTAACTTTCCAATTTACTTCTGAAAGTTGCTACTAAATCTGCTTCCACTTCCCCTTCAGCAGTGTATTACAGACCGTAGCAAGAGAGCAACAGGTCAGTGGAAAATACCTCATCTTTACCTGGCTTTTCTGAAACTTATCATAAATCTATTATATGGTTACAGACTACCTGTTATTGAACTCCTCAAATCTGTTATGAACTTCCTTGGTTTTTACCTCATTTCAGTGTCTTGTGTCAACTGCAGTCTTTGAAATCCCAGTTCTCTTCACAAAGTTAATGTTGAATTGCATCATTCATGCTTTCAGATAGTTCATTCCAGATATCTCACTATGCAAAACAACTCTTCCTTTTATTTCTTTCTTCCCATTTACTGCACCAATCTCCAACCTTCATCCTTCATCCACATTGTAGCCCAACATGTGTGAGAATGTACGTTCAACTACCTATGCATTTCAATGTACACTGCTGTATTTGGGATCAGCACACATTGGATTAAAACAGATTTCAGTTATGCTCAACAGGGCTGCTTTGTTGAATGATAAGATGCTGATAAAGTGGGAAAGTCAATCATTCAATTCAGAAAAACTTGGAGCGTTTCTTTCGTTATTGTTGACAGCAATCAAGTGCTAGGGTTGATCTGTAACAAAATCTAACATTGGAGAGAAGATGAACATGAATGTATTGTCTTGGCTCCACATTATCTGAAGTCTTCATCATGTTTCTTTCAATACATTGCATTTTAATGTGAGCATGCATAGTATGTACAGAACAAGGTAGAATCACAATGGAAGTCTGGCATAATACAGATGCTAAAGGTCAAGAAGTCAGAGCTCATTTTAGATAAATGCTTCATTCTCCACTGCCTGCAGCTGCAAACTTATTCATTGAGAGATTTTTTTTCAAAATCAAGTAGCTACGTGGGGGTGAAGCAGAATTTTAAAAAGAGAAAAGCATTTCCTTTCAGCAGGAGAAAGCAATTGTCATGTTGAGCCAAGCTGATGGGCTACAGTAAAGGATGTATTTGGATAGAAACGTATTAATTTCATCTCTCTGTCCGCTTCAATCTCACAGGAGAGATTTATTTACCATGCTTGTAGTAAGGTTACTTTCCTTTGTGTTTCTGCATGGGCACAATTCTCTTTTCTTGAAACCATGAACACTCTCACTATTGGTGAATTCACAATACACTGATCCACTTCATATCAGACTTCCACAGTAGTGTAAGTATTTAGAGCAAGTCACTGTTTGCTCTGGTCAGGCTAGAATTGAGCTTGGTACCAGGGTTTTTATAATGAATTATGAACTCAATACTTCAGAATAAAGTAAACAAAATTGTGTTCATTGGACTGAACACTCATACTGATGGGGTAACATCAGCTTCTTAAAGATAAAGATCCAACTCTGTGATTGTTACGGTTGATGTTTATGTTCAAGTCATGAAATACAAGAGGCAATCCAACAGTGTTGAACTCCACTCATTTTCCATTCCCCAACTCTACTTTATCTTTTCCTTCTGGTTCCTTCTTGATTCCAAGGTGATACTTCTCCCTTGCTGTTGTGCTACTCTATGCTCCATTTTACCAGGAGTCTATCACTGAATTAGTTCAAATCAACAGAAGCAAACTGGCTCCTGAGCAGAGGATTGGGGAACTGTGCAAGAGGGAGAATTTTGCGGAAATTAGAACAAGAGGAAATTGATTGGAAATTGTCAGCACAAATTAGTCAGTCAGTTTACTTGTTCGAAGTTGCGTATTTACATTGTAGCTTTGCTTTAAGTGTGTAATGACCTTGTGCTGAGGCAGATCACCGTTAGCAGCACAGATACGTGGACAGTTTGGAGAACAGTTCTGGGTTGCTCCTCAAGTGGTCCTTTTCTTATGGGGAAATGCTAGCTATCCATTATTTCCCCATTTTAGATCAAGGTAGAATCACAGTGAAAGTCTGACATAATACATATGCTAAGGGCCAAGAAGTCAGACCTCACTTTAGGTGGATGTTTCATTCATTTCAGTCAAGTTCCCAAGCAAAATAATGCTGTGGTAAGTACTCATTCAAACTCTGTCTTTAACGTCAAATGAGTCATTGGCAACCTGACTAACATTTGTCCCAGTTTCTTCAAACTCTGGCATGCTCCTGTACCCAAATAAAAATCTTACAGCAGACTGACAGATTCTGTTAATAATTACCAAGGTGTTTATAATGCCGATTGTGAGCCTGTAGCAAAATTTTCACTCGATCCAGAGGGGCAATTGTTGACTTTGCACAACATCCTGCAATACCTGCACAGAATATTTACATAAATTAATTTTCAACAGTAACAAAATATTAATTTCCAACATTTTCATGTAACAACTACACCAAATAGTGTCCTAAATTTGATGTCAGGGTTGAGAAACATATCAGCCATGACTACATGGCACAGCAGACTCAACGGACCATGTGGCCTAATTCTGCTCTTGTATCATAGTCAGCTGTGATCCAATATAGCGTAATCACCCAAGTACAAACACAAGAAACAGGAGCAGGAATAAGACCATAAGAATATAGGAGCTGAAGTACGCCTTTCAGCCCTCAAGTCTGCTCTGCCAATCAATGGATGATCTGATAATCCTCAACTCTGGTTTGCTGCTTTCTTCACATAACCATTAATTCACTTACTGCTTAAACATCTTGGATAGTTTTAGCAAGACCTCCCTACTTTTATGCTCCCTTCCCTTTGAGATACAAGCCAACAGTCATTTGCCTTTGCCATTACCTGCTGAACTTAGATGCCTTTTGTGATTTATGCATGATGACTCCCAAATCCCTTTGAACTGCAGCTTTCTGTAGGCTCTCCCCATTTAAATAATATTCAGCTCTTGTATTCTTCCTGTCGAAATGCATAACCTCATTTTCCCATATTATATTCCATCTGCCAAGTTTTACCTACTCTGTAACCTGTCTGTATCCCTTTGTAGACTCTTATCCTTACTATTTGCCTTCCCACTTTTTTTTGTCATTTGCAAACTCGGCTGTAGTATATTCATTTTCCTCATCCAAGTCATTAAGATATGTTGTAAATAATTGTGGCCCCAGCATTTCTCATTGCTGTATTCCACCAGTTACAGGCTACTATGCTGAAAATGCTCCCTTCATTCAAACCCTCTGTCTCTTATGAGTTTGTTGATTCATTATCCATGCTACTATGCCAGCACCATTGGCTCTTATCTTATTAGGTGCCTTATGCGTGTTATCTATTAAATGTCATTTGGAAATCCAAATATATTACATCCTTTACGAATCATGTTTGCAACCTCCTAAAATAACTGTAACAAATTTGCCTGGATGATTTCCCCTCATTAACTATGCTGATTTTATTATGCATTTCTAAACCCTTTATAACAGACTCTAGCAATTCCCAATGGCAGATGTTAGGCTAACTGACCTATACTTACCCTGTTCCTTTGTCTCCCTATGTTTTTGAATAAGTTTACTACACCAGCAGTTTTCCAGAATCTAAGGGTTACTGGAAGATTACTACCAGTGCACCCACTATCTGTGTACCTAATTCCTTTAATAACCATTTAATTCAGCTCTTTAGATCTGTTTTGTCTTTCAACAAGATTATGAACACCCCCCTTTAAATCTAGTTTGCTGCAGTATCCCCAAATCCCTTTAGCATTCAAAGTTTACTCATCTTTGTCTTGAGGATATTCAACTGTGCATCCACTGATTTCTTGGGGAGAGAATTTTAGGTCCACAATCCTTTGAGTTGAGAAATTTCTCATCTCAGACTCTTGTGCTCTACCCTCAACCTAGGAAATACCTAACAAGCTCAGTAACTATGGTCTCAAGCCCCTTTTGAATATTATGTTTCAATCAGATCACTGCTCACATTGCTAAATTCTACAGATATAGGCCAGGTACATGCAATTTCACCTCATAGCTAAACCCATCATGCTAGGAATCAATCTAGGTGAACCTTTGCTGTATTCCCTCCAAGGCAAACATATTCTACATCGGGTGAGGAGATCAAAACACCATACAGTACTCTAGATGTGATGTCGCCCAGGTTCCAATGTTAGAGGACAATTTATTCACTCATAGCCCTTAAAATAAAGATGAACAGCCCATTTGCTCTCTCAATTGTTTTCTGTAGCTGCATATTAATTCTGTGATTTGCGTAGGACATCCATGTTCTTTAAACATTAACACTTCCCTGTTCCTTGGCGTTCTAAATACTTTGCTTTTTTATTATCCTTCCAAAGTGGATAATTCCACATCTCACCTCATATTCTATCTGCCATGATCTTGTGTGCTTGTGCTTGTTTAACTCACCATCATTTTTTTTGCAGCCTTTCAGTGCCCTCCTCACAACTTACTTTCCCATCTCACATTATACTGGCAGAAAACTTGAATACAAAACACTCAGTAATTCCTCTGAGACAAATTGCAAATATCTGAGGCCCAAGCACTGACCCTTGCACTTCCCCACTGGTGACAGTCTGCGAACACAAAAAGTACCTGTTTATTCCTTCTCTCTGTTCCATCTGTTAATTAATCCTCAATCCATGAACCCTAACTTTACACAATAACTTCTGTTATGGCACCTTGCCGAGTGCTTTCCAAAAGTCCAAATAAATAACATCTACTCATTCCCCTTGACTGCTGTGCTAGTTCCAACCTCAAGCCCCACTGCAGAAGTTGAGCAAAATTACGTTAAAACAGGAAGTACTTGAGAAACACAGCAGATCTGGCAGCATCTGCAAACAGAAAAAAAAGTTAACGTTTTGAGACTAATGTATCTCTGCTTCATAACAAACTGCATTATTACACTCTCAGAAGTGCCATCTTCAGTTATGAAGGCCTATTTACACAACCAACAATGGTGAGCCAAAGGACGAGAAGGATGGAGGAAGCCAGAAGAAGAGGAACACAACATTTTTAGAAGATTACACAGAGGAAGTAGTTGCCAACGAAACGATGCAGACAAAGGGAAAGCAACGCCTCTGCCTTTTCCAATGTTTTCGTTAATTAAACGACATTAGATGCAATGTCAGATAATCACTGTGAAATGAGAAATGATGATGGAATCGAGAGAGATCATTGATCATAGAATCATAGAATCCTTACTGTGTGGAAACAGGCCCTCTGGCCCAACAAGTCCACACCGACCCTCAGAGCATCCTACCCATACTCATCCCCCTATAACCCACCCAATGTACACATCCCTGAACACTATGGACAACTTAGTACAGCCAATCCAGCGAGCCTGCACACCTTTGGACTGTGGGAGGAAATCGGAGCACCTGGAGGAAACCCACGCAGACACGGGGAGAACATGCAAACTCCACACAGAGTCGCCCAAGGGTGAACCCGGTCCCTGGCGCTGTGAGGCAGCAGTGCTAACCACTGAGCCACCGTGCCCCCTATGGTGACAAGGAACAGCTAAATGCCTTGTGTACAGTGGGAATCTGATGTCTTGGTTAAAGGTTTGATGAGGCATCCCAAAGGAGGACACCAAGGCAGAGAAGCAAAGAGACCTGAGGAAGGATTTTCAGAGTTTGGGATCTACACAACTAAAGATACAGCCACCAACAGTGGTGCATTTAAAATCAGGAATGTTCAACAGCAGAATTGAAAGAGCGTAGCTATCATGGAGAATTATGGCATCAATGAATATTTCAGAGAAAGGATCTGATCTTCAATACTTTCCAGGATACCCCCTCATTTGCAGTGTAATCCCTTGCCTTGTTAGCCTAATCCAGTTTGAACTCCATTTACCACACCTCTGTCCACCTGAGAAGTATATTGATATCCACCCGCTGTTTACAGCTATCCTCCTCACTACCTTACTAATTCTCATGCCATCCTCTAATGTCTTGATCATACTCTCTATGTTTAAATTCAAATCATTAATGTACACTACAAACGGCAAGAACCCAACACCAAGGCTTGTGGACCCCCACTGGAAACAGACTTGCAGTCATAGAAACATCGTTCTTCCAATACCCTCTGCTTCCTCTCTCTCAGCCAATTATGGATCCAGCGTACCACTCTGCCTTGGATTCCATGGGCTCTTACTTTCTTGACCATTCTGCCATGAGGCGCATTACCAAAAGTCTTGCTAAAGTACATTAGACCACATCAAATGCATTACCCTTATTACTCCTGATTACCTCCTCAAAAAAATTGATCAAATTTGTCAAACACAAACCTGTCTAAACCAATCCATGCCGAGTATCCCACATTAATCGGCATCAGTTCAACTAGATACATTCTGCTCCTCAGAATTCTTTCCAATAACTTATCCACTAATGAGGTTAGATCGACAGGTCTGTAATTTCTAAATCTATCCCTTCCCCCACCTTTTTTTAATAATGGGACAATGTTAACAGTCCTCCAGTACTCTGGCACCTCACTCTTAGCCAGAATGAATTACTGCAGGAGCCTCCAAACCTTCTGCCTTGCCTCCCTCAACAGTTGGGCCTGCGGATTTATCCGCTCTGAAGGCTGCAAAACCCACTAGAACCTCCCCTATTTAATTTCTTCTAATGTTTCACAGTCCTCCATCTTGGTGTCTATACCGGTGTTATCCTTTTCCATTGTGAAGACTGATGGCAAGTATTCATTGAAGATGAATCCCTCGTCTTCTAGGTCCATACGTACATTACTTCTATGACCCTTAAAGGCCTTTGTCTTTCTCTCATTATCCTTTTGCATTTTATATACTGGAGTTTTATTTTGTTCTATCCACTACTGCTTTCTCATGCACTCTCCTAGCTTTCCTAACTTTCTTTTCAAAGTTCCCTTTTTTTAAAAAATATGCTCCTGTAGGAACTCTGCCACATTCAGCCCTCAGCATCTCAGATAAACTCCTCTTCCGGCAAGATGACGGCAGGGTAAGTCGCTCCATTCAGAATTCCATTCTGCTTGCCAGTTCTTTTTCTCTTTCTTTCTTTGTCCTTTTCTTTTTTTCTCCCTTCTTCTCTCTCCCTCTGTAGTAATTCTATCCCCTTCACCCCTTTTAACTACCTACCTAAGGAGTCAGGAAGGAGCCAGGTCACGATTGGGAACCAAGCTGAATGCACGGGTTGTATGGCAAAGGTACACACTTTTCACTGATTTTTTTTTTACATTGAATACACGTGACAATAAATCATTCAATAATCATGATCTTTATGTCTCTTGACACCCAGAGTTCTGTGGTCATGGTCCCATCCCTTGTCTTTACAAAAATATATTTGCCCTGTATTCTTACTAGTTTCTCTCCAAATGCCTCCCACTGCTCTGACAGTTTTATCTGCAAACTGCTGCTGCCAGTCCACTTGCTAAATCATATCTTAGCAAAATTTGCCTTTCCCCAGTTTAGAACTTTTATTGTGGCCCATCCTTATCCTTTTCATAATTATCCTGAATCTGAGTTAATGTCACTATCTCCAAAATGTTCCACTCTACTGATATGCTATCCACCTGCCTATGCCCCTAATATTTCCAAATATTAAGTCCAGAACAGCCTCCTCCTTGTTGGGTTTTCTACGTATTGACTGTAAGGATTCTCTTGGATGCAACATAAGAATTTTGTACCTGCTCTATCTTACATATTTAAAAAATCCCTGTTAATATTTAGGCACTGAAAATCACCTATTACTACCTTATTAATCTTACACTTCTCTGAAATGTGATTACATCCTCTATCTCGGCCTGACTGTTTGGGAGGCCTATAGCATGCATCCAACAACATGCTTGCCTCGGTGTTTTCTGTCTCAGCCCATATGGCCTCATTTGATGATCCTTCCAATGAAGACGTGGAAAAAATACAGTACATTAAAACACTGGTGCCTTAATCTTCATGTAGATTGGGAGAATAAAATTGGTAGAGGTAGCCACGAGGAAGAATTCAGAGAGTATATTCAGGACAGTTTCCTAGAACTATATGTTATAGATCCTACCAGATGCAAAATAGCTTGATCCCTGGTTATGTGCAATGAGGCAGGTTTAATAAATGATCTCAGAATAAAAGATCCCTTTGGTAACAGTGGCCATAACTTGGTAGGACTTAGAGTTCAGTCTGAGAGGGAGAAACTTGGGTTAGAATCAACCGTGCTAAACTTAAGGACAATTACAAAAGGAATGTGGGCAGAGCTAGCTGGAGTGGACTGGAAAAGGAGTTGAAGTGCAAAGACAGTTGATAAACAATAGCAAACTGTTTAAAAAATAGTTCATGATTGACAACAAAATGTATCCCAGTGACAAAGAAGAATTCTAGGAAGGGGAGAAGCCAACCATGGTTAACTAGGAAAGTTATGGATACCATCAAATTGAAAATAAAAACACAGAATGTGGTCAAGATAAGCACTAAGCCAGAGGTTGGGTAAGTTTTAAAAAACAACAAAAGGCTATAGTGATTGTAACAAGCTCAGCAAGGTGGACCTCACAGAATATGCTGTCCCTGATTGGGAATATTAATCTGATCCAATCAGGGAGCCCTGGCTGACAATATAAATAAATAGGGCTGTGTCAAAGATGCTGACGCTCTGGTAGCTGCCTCTGAATGAGGGGACTGTTCATATGTAAATAAAGGGTGACTTGTTGAAGGATACCTGTCTCTGTGGAGTTATTTCAAAACAACTAAACAACAACGTAAGAAAATAAACTATACAGTTAAACTTACAATGCTATCAAGGCAGACAGCAAAGCTTATTTAAATATATAAAAAGAAAATTGGCCACAGAGACTTTATAGAATGAAGCTGGTAAAATAATAATGGGGGTTCAGGAAATGGCAGAGGAGTTGAATAAATACTTTGTTTCAGTCTTCAAAGTAGATGATGCTAATAGCATTACAAAATTACTTAACAATCAAAGGACAAAAGGGGCTGGGGAGGAAATAAATACAATAATTATCACTATATAAAAAACACCAGGGAAACTAATGGGGCTAAAATTAAGTATTAGAAAAGGCTCTGGACGAATGAAAAACTACAATGTCACACCCTTATTCAAAAAAGGAAAAAGACAAAGGATAGGTAACAATAGGCCAGCTGTGAAAACAGTGCAAGCAAAATGATGGACAGACATCATGGGGTCAGGTTCTGATGTTGTAGAATTCATGATTAAGACTGTGAGGCTGTAAAGTACTTAAGTGGAAAATGAGATGTTATCCCTCAGGTGGGCATTATTTCATGACATTATGTGAATGAGCAGGGCAGTTATCCTGGGTCTCTGATGCAACATTTATAGAAATACAGCAGGAGTAGGTCATTTGACCCTTCAAGCCACTTCACCATTCATTATAATCACGGCTGATATTCTAACTCAGTAGCCTGTTTCTGCTTTTCTCCCACACCCTTTGATCCCTTTAGCCCCAAGAACTACATTCAACTCCTTCTTTAAATCGTACAATATTTTATTGTATACTTGCAGTAAGATGTCAATGCTGCTGTACTCAAATCCTCTTGCTATGAAGGCAACATACCATTTGCCTTCTTCACTGCCTGCTACACCTGCATGCTTACCTTCAGCAACTGGTGAAAAGGACACTCAGGTCTTGTTGCACATGCCCCTCTCTCAATTTATAACCAAAATTTAATCCTTCTTGATTTTGCTCCCATTTATCCACACAATGCTGCATCTGCCATGTATCTGCCCACTCACTCATCTTGTCCTAACCCTATCACTTAAGCATCCCTGCAGCCTCCTCACAGTTCACCCTCCCACCTAGCTTTGTATCAACTGCAAATTTGGAGACATTAATTATTTAGATGGAGGAACTAAATGTAGTATGTTTTGTGAATAGCTTAGGTCCTAGCACTGAGCTCTGCAGTATCCCACTAGTCATTGCCTGCCATTCGGAAAACGACACGTTTATTTATACTCCATTTCCTGTCTGCCAACTAGCTCTCCGTCCATCTCAATACACCACCCCTAATCCCTAAATCCTTCAATCAACAATACACATTATCTGGTCATTCTTGTTTGTGGGAGATGCTTTGTGCAAATTGGATTCTGTGTTGCCTATTACAAATAATTATGCTTTCAAATAAATACTTCATTAGCTGTGAGACACTTTTGGACAGAATTAGATTGCAAAAAGCATCATATAAATGCAGGTTTCTTTTTACTAACAGTCAATTATGATGGATCAATTATTCCTAATACAGTTACCTCCTGCCACCAAGGAGCGCAGCCAAAAAAAGTCTCGACGAGTGGGGGCACCCACACCAGTTTTGGCACTGGCTGGAATTGGTGCTTCTGTTGTCATGACTACTAGACCTTTGAAAGATGTTTGGTCCTCCTGCAAAGCTACAAAAAAAGTTTAGCGAAAATTAATTGAGCACTGGAACCTCACAAATGAAGTGTTCCCAACGCTGCTTTCTATTTCTTCTCAAATATAACTTTAATCTTTTCAACACCCACCAAATCTATGAACATTCAAAGAGAAAATTACTGTAATGGGATCAGATGAGGTGGGGTAACAATGGTTGTGGTGATCAAACAGGAAAATGGAATTATTCTCAATTCAATATTAAAGGATGTGGGAAATGAGCAGGAGAGTGAGATACGATGAGGTGGAATACTAAATAATATCTCACCTACCTGAGTTACGAGTTTCAGATTCTTGCTTTCTGAGTATTCGATCAAACCATGTTATAGTTTTAAAGAGATCATCAGGTTATTACATCAGTTCCCCCTCACATCTCTCTTTAGAGGGTGTTAGCCTGGTTAGTCTTTCCTGTTGATATTACCTCAATTTTTCTATCTTCTTTTTCCCTCCTCTACCCTCTCTATATTCTTTGATGCTTTTTGTTTGTTTGTGAGATGCACATGTCACTTGCAAGTGCAGCTTTAGTGCCCATCCACTGTCGCGCCAAAGGTGATGGTAAACTGCCTTCTTGAATCGCTGCAGTTAGGTGTCAGGAGCTGTTAGGTAGGGAGTTCCAGGATTCTAGCAAAGCAACACTGAGAAACAGCAATAAAGCTCTATCCAGATGGAGTGCAGCTTGGAAAGGAAGTTGTGATAGTGATCAAATGTATCTGCTGCCGTTGTCCTTCTAGGAGATAGAGGTTGCAGGTTTGAAAGATGCTGTCAAAGAAACCTTGCTGAGCTACTGCAGTGCATCTTGCAATTGGTACACAATGCTGGCACTATGTTGTGATGGAAGGAATGAATGCTGTAGTACATGGATGGGTTCAAGTCAACTACTTTGTCCTGGATGTTGTCAGGCTTCATCTACAGTCATCAAGTCATATAGCACAGAAACAGACCCTTCAGTTCAATTTGTCTGTGGTGATCAAGTTCCCAAATTGAACTAATCCCATTTGCCTGCATTTGGCCCATATCCCTCCAAACCTTTCCTACTCAGGTACCTTCTAAATGTCTTTTAAATGTTGTAAATGTACTTGTATGTACCACTTCCTCTGGCAGTTTATTCTTACGAATCAGACTCTAGCAGGGCGGCCACGGATGAGATGCTGGAAGACTGCAGGGTGGCTAATGTGGTACCATTATCGAAGAAAGGTGGTAAAGAAAAGCCAGGGAACAACAGACCAGTGAGTGTGATGTCAGTGGTGGGTAAGTGGGTAGAGGAGATTCTGACGGACAGGATTTACAAGTATTTGGAAAAGCAAGGACTGATTAGGGATAATCAACATGGCTTTGTGCGTGGGAAATCATGTCTCACTAAATTGTTTGAGATTTTGGAAGAAGTGACAAAGAAGATTGATGACGGCTGAGTGGTGGGCATTGTCTACATGGATTTCAGCAAGGCGTTTGACAAGGTTCCACATGGTAGACTACTTAGCAAGGTTAGATCACATGGTATCCAAGAAATGCTAGACAAATGATTTAAAGGATGTTGCTGGGTTGGAGGATTTGAGCTATAAGGGGAGGCTTCTTTGATTGCTGGAGCTGCCTATGTCCAGGCAAGCGGAAAGTATTCCATTGTGCTTCTGACTTATGCCTCATGGACAGTGGGTAGTTATTAGGAAGACAGAAGGAATATGCTGTCCTTCTTCAAAATAACATTGCAAGATAGCATTTCTGACAGCAAACGCCTCCTCAGCTGGATTCATGAAGGGGAAATCATGACCAACAAATTTATTAGAATTCTTTAAGTAAGTAACAAACAGAATAGACAAAGGGGAAAGCAGTGGTTATACCTGGATTGTCAGAAGGCATTTGATAAAGGCTACTAAATTAGATAAGGATCCATGGTATTACAGGTAGTTTATTAGCATGGATACAGGAGTTCTTGTGGCACAGAGGCAATGTCCCTTCACTGAGCCAGGAGGCCTGGGTTCATCATCTTCAGAAGTGTGTACAGGCTGATTAGAAAATATCTATTAGCATGGATAGGATTGGACTAATAGAAGATAAATTCGGAATAATGGCAACCTGTAATTACTGGAGTGCTGCAGAGATGGGACCACAATTATTTACAATATACAGTAATGATTTGGATGAGGAAAGTGAATGCATTATAGCCAATTTTGTGAATGACAAGCATAGGTGGAAATGCAACTATTAAGGATGACACAAAAACTCTACAGTTGGATTCAGACAGATTAACCAAGTGGGAAAATCCCTGGCAGATGGAATATAATATGGGAAAACGTGAAGTTAACAACAAATGCTGGAGATCATAGCGGGTCAGATACCATCTATGGACAGAGAGCAAGCTAACATTTCAAGTCTAGGTGACTCTTCATCAGAGCTGAAGTGTGGAGTGGTCGGCATTTATGCTATAGTTCTAAGTAGGGCGTTATGTGGGGGTAATGGGTGTGGGGTGCTGGTGGAGAAAAGAAAAATCAAAAAAACTGTGGATGCTGTATATCAGGAGCAAAAAGTTGCTGGAAAAGCTCAGCAGGTCTGGCAGCATCCGTTAAGAAAAATCAGAGTTAACGTTTCGGGTCTGGCGAACAGTGGAAGAAAAAATGTTGATAGTTCAGATTAAGTGATTGGAACGTGAGAATGGCAGAACAATGATGTGTCTCCTGCCAGACTTGAAAGGACAGACAGTCTCACTGGATGGGGTAGGGGGGAGAGAAAACATGGTAAGGAATGTAACAAGCTAAAAGAAAAGGAAGAAATGAGAGATAGTAGGAACTGCAGATGCTGGAGAATCCGAGACAACAAGGTGCAGGGCTGGATGAACACAGCAGGCCAAGCAGCATCATAGGAGCAGAGAGGCTGACGTTTCGGGCCTAGACCCTTCATCAGAAGAGGGGGAGGGGAAGGGGGTTTTGAAATAAATAGGGAGAGAGTGGGAGGCGGATAGAAGAGGGATAGAGGAGAGGATAGGTGGAGAGGAAACAAACAGGTCGAAGAGGCGGGGATGGGGCCAGGAAAGGTGAGTGTAGGTAGGGAGTTAGGAAGGGGATAGGTCAGTCCAGGGAGGACGGACAGGTCAAGGGGGCGGGATGAGGTTGGTCGGTAGGAGATGGAGGTGCGGCTTGGGGTGGGAGGAGGGGATAGGTGGGAGGAAGAACAGGTTAGGGAGGCAGGGACGAGTTGGACTGGTTTTGGGATGCGGTGGGGGGAGGGGAGATTTTGAAACTTGTGAAATGAGAGTTGGTTCACAATTTGAAGGTTTTGAACTCAATATTAAATCCAGAAGGCTGTAAAGTGCCTAGTCTGAAGACGAGATGTTGTTCACTGCAGCGTGCTGAGGACAGACACGTGGGCGTGCAAGCAGGTTGCTGTGTTAAAATGACTGGCTACAGGAAGGTTGGGGGTCATGCTTACACATAGACAGGAAGTGTTCAGCAAAGTGGTCACCCAGTCTGTGTTTGGTTTCTCCAATTTACGGTAGGCCACATTAGATGCAGCAAAAACAATACAAAAGACTGGAGGAGGTACAGATGAAATGCTGCTTCACCTGGAAAGACTACTTAGGCCCTTTGATGGTGAGCAGGTTGGACACTTCTTCCTACCACCCCCTGGACCATGACCCCACATCCAAACATCAAACCACTGTTGCCAGGACTGTCACTGACCTCATTACCTCCAGAAATCTTGGAGGAAGCACAGGTGAAATGCTGCTTCACCTGGAAAGACTATTTAGGCCCTCAGATGGTGAGCAGGGAGGTGGTGAAGGGGCAGGTGTTGCACCTTCTGCAGTTGCAAGGGAGGTGCCATAGGGAGAGGGGATGCTGGTGGTGGTTGTGGAATGTACTAGGGTGCCCCAGAGGGAACGATCCCTGCAAAATGCAGACAGGAAAGCGAGGGGAAGATGTGTTTGATGGTGGCACTCTGCTGGAGTTGTCTGAAATGGTAACGAATGATCCTTTGAAAGCGGAGGCTGGTGGGATGAAAAGTAAGGACAAGGGGAACCCGATCACGCTGTTGTGAGTGATGGGAAGGGTCAAGGGCGGAAGCATGGGTGATAGGTCAGATGCAGTTGAGGGCCCTGTCACAGTGGATGGAAAACCATGGTCATGGAAGAGGCAAGCCATGTCAGCAGCGCTGTTGTGGAAGGTGGCATCATCCAAACAAATGTGACATAGGCAAAGGAACTGGGAGAATGGGATGGAGTCCTTGCAGGACATGGGGTGTGACAAGCTGTAGTGAAGGTAGCTGTGGGAGTCAGTGGCTTTGTAGTGGATGGCACTGGACAGTTTATTCCACGAAATGGAGACAAAAGATCAAGGAAAGGAAGGGAAGTGGCAGAAATGGATGACGTGAAAGTTATAGAGAGGTGGAAATTGGAGGCAAAATTAACGAGCTTTTCAAGGTCCTGTCCTGGAAGTGGCTTGGAAACAGTTGTTGATATACCGAGAAAGGAGTTGTGGGAGTGGGCCAGTATAGCACTGGAACAAAGATCGTTCCACATACCCCACAAAGAGACAGGCATAACTGGGACCCATGCACTCCCTTGACTTGGTAGAAGTGAGATGAATTAAAGGAGAAATTGTTCAGTGAAAGAAGAAGTTCAGTCAGGTGGAGGAAAGTGTGGTGGATTGTGACTGTTCAAGCCTCTGGTCGAGGAAGAAGGAGAATTCTCAGACCATCCTGGTGGGGAATGAAGGTATAGAGGGATTGGACGTCCATCGTGAACAAGGGGCAATTAGAGCCAGGGAACTGGAAATTGTCAATATGGTGGAGGGCATCAGAGGAATCACAGATGTAGGTGGACAGGGTCAGGACAAGTGGACAGAGGTTGGAGTCAAGGTAGGAGGAAATGAGCTTTTTGCCCATACCATACACCTCCATCAGCTCCCCCTCTCTGCCCACACCACACCCCTTGATCACTCATCCCTGTGCCCAACTCACCTTGACCCCCCATCATCACACCTGTCTGCCCGTCTCACACCCCCCCACCAATTTCCCTCTCTGCCTGTCTCACTGCCCCTCACACCCCGTCTCATCACACTCTTCCTCACTATCTTTCCCCTTCTCTCCCATTTCACACTGTCTCTTTCCATCCCACTCTGAATTGCTGAGTGAGTGAATTCCCTCACTCTCCCCATTGTCTCTCCTCCTCCCATCATCTCTCTCAATCCCTCTCATAACCACTGTTCTCCCACACTACCAACCTGTGTCCCTCTCCCCCTGCTCTTCTCCCTCACTTCCAATCCTACCTCACTGACTCACTCATTATCTCCCTTCACTCTCCTCCCCTCAATCTCTCTCCACATCACTCAGACCCTCACTATCCCTCCCCATCTCTCCCTACCCCACCCTTTCCATCCCACCCTCCCCATCCCATTGTCTCCCATTCACTCACTCCGACCAGCACTGTCCCTCTCTCCCATGTCCCTCCATCCATCTCTCCCTCACTTGGCCGGCCGTCC